GTCCGCAACGGCATTAGGTAGATAGAACATTTATTGAACTTAAGAAAGTATAATAAGAACTAATAAAAGACCTTAAAAACACAAAGACAATTTTTGGTAAAACCTCACTCACTTGCGTAAAAAATTGTTCTTAAAATAACGGGACGCGTTTCGGGACCTTAGCTCCCATCATCAGCTGCGACTACTAATAAAGGAACCTTTATGCTCATACTTGTTTTATTTTACTCATATATAGTACATGCAGAGCATATAGGAGCCGAAGCTTTTCGAACCTCTAGCGTTTATCGTCAGGGGCTAGTAACTAACTAACTTACTTAAGAAAGATACACCAAACTTTTATGCATACGGCTCTTTTCTAAAATATGCAATGGTATCGGAGAAGTAAAAAAGTAGAAGGAAAATCCCTTGTAATATTTGTCTTGAGTATAGGATTTTTTTTTTCAGTACCGGGAATTCTATGAAGCCGCAATTGGTCTAAGGGTTGCAGCGTAGTTATGAATATTTATGAATGCTGAACGATAATCATATTATTACCTCTCTATTTATTTAGAGTTTTTCTGTGGCGCAGTAAGAAGTCTAACTCAACAATTTGAATTACCGAAAACGCACAAAACGACTAAAGTATTAGGGTGGTACTACTAGATTTTCTAAGGTCTAAGGGTTGCCGCGTAGTTATGAATATTTATGAATGCTGAACGATAATCGTATTATTACCTCTCTATTTATTTAGAGTTTTTCAGTGGCGCAGTAAGAAGTCTAACTCAACAATTTGAATTACCGAAAACGCACAAAACGACTAAAGTATTAGGGTGGTACTACTATATTTTCTGGGCTCTTGGACGTTTAAATTCAGTGACTATAGTGGCTAAATAATCGGAATTCGAGCACTTCCGAAAATGCCAGTGCAGACGGCCCAACATCGATCCAACTTTTGCGAAATTTGTTCGACAAATCAGATTTGACTCAGTATAGTCCGACAAATTACGACGAAATGTTGAACCTTCTGGACTGGGTCTAATTTCTGATGATTAAACCATGAATTTCGCGCCTCTATGTCCGATTTTATCATTACGTGGCTCATTGTCAGTTACCCTCTATTTATTACTCTTTAATTTCACCGAGATCCAAACACGCGCCATACCGAGAACAACAGAGGTGTTAATGAAAGCTGATGCAGGTATGAAATACAAGCCGCACTTTCATCACTCCGGTGAATAGAAACCGCAACCGCATATGCAAACCACAGCTTATAGCTACCGGTGAGCAAATTAATGATGGGTAAATGGCTGAGAGGTCGTGCAACACGGCACGCAAGTCGCTCAGATACTACGGATGGTGGTTCGGATACAATCAGTCAATCACGCATGTTTTCTTTCATTCATAATTAATTTTAACTCTCCACCCAAGTGACATGGACGTCGCTTTACAACTTACGCGCGTTTGTTTCATTCAAAACGCGTTGTCGTCGACCATCCGGAGCGGATAATAGATGATGCGGCAGTTTCGTCATGACGAAAGCGACCTCTCCCGCCTCGCGGGCCTCCGCCTCCTGCGGTGGCGGAGGAGGGATTTCAATTACTTAGGTGTTGAAGAGGATTATCCCTTTTCACCGTCCATTTGCGGGGTGATCGAGTGACAAAGCCCCGGGCTCAGGAGGCCCTTTAAAAGTAAAATAAGGGACACTAATTGCTGTGTTTTATTCAGTAAAACGGATTGAATCATCAATCCAGTGACGACGGTTCTTTAAGTTTTTCATAAATTTGAGGCACATATACAACGCACTAGGGACCTCTATGTCTTCCGAAACTTATTCTTTCAAAGAACATCAGACAACAAGTAACTCCGTCTGATCACTTTGGATCTCTCTTGAAAACTTTAGGGCTTCGATGGAAATGTGGGTACTTCTTCAAAACTTGACCGAAGATCAAAGTTAAGATAATAAACTTGAAAGAGGCAAAAGTAGAACTGGACGACCAGCGGGCTGAATATTGACATCGGTAGACTAAGGAGACATTTGGAGTATCCTTTTGGCTGGAACAGGTATAGTTGTCTTAGACTAAGGGGGAAAACGGTAGACTAACTGTAGGGTGCCTCCTTGTTGCTTTTCGTTAGTCTATTACTTACCTCCTTCTTTCATTGCAACTACCCGATTCCACCAGTATGATCGCTTTATTTTCAGTAGTTTATATTCCTTCTCGATAGCTTTGTCTATTATTTTTAGTAATCAGCTCACCGACGTCAAACGTTCAATTCATGAGACCGAACTTTTCCCAAAGCACTCCAGTTGAATCGGCAAAAAAAGCTTCAACTTCTTCCCCGTGAAGACTTATTGTGAGCTTTCCTCGTTCTGTGACAAAAATTCTAAAACCATAAGAAGAAAAAAACGAAACATGACAAATGCTTCTGGACAGGGCAGCACGACCCTCGCTCACGCAGGTCGAATTTATCGTGGGTGTCACGGGCCGTGTGTAATGAGATTTCTCAATTTCCCCATCCCTCCTCGGTAGCGAGCCGTATTTGTTTTGATCATTTCGTTGAGCAGGGCTACGTTGAGACGTCTAATAACATAGGCGAAGACCCGGCCACGGCGGAGCCCGCCGTTATGCATCCGACGTTGGGCTGGGTCGAGCTTCGATTCTATCGATGTTTCTTATTTAACGGGGCGTAGACGAGGGGCTATTCGATAGGTCGATCTTTTTATTGCGCAGGTACACCGACACTACCGACAGTCATTAATACTCGTATAGGGCCATAGAGCGGTATCCTCCTCCAGAAGGACGATTGAAGGGTTATTTTGATTAGGTTGTCTCACCGCGTTGCCATAGTTACAGTACCCTCAGCCTCCCCACATCTCTGAAAGTGTACGTTGAAGGTGCAGTGCTTTTAACGGTTAATCAAAAGTCGTGGTACCTCATCGAAATTTTTAAAGGAATTTGGGCAAAGTCTAAAAGTTCAAGACATAAACGAATAGGAAAACAATTATTTTCATTACCCTGTCGAAAAGGTCCCATGGGAACCCATAGGAAAAATCCCCATGAAATCCCCATCAATATTTCCCGTGAGGTTTTTGCCCCGGGTCCCTATGGGGACTGGGTCATGGGGACCCAAAAACCCACGGGAGTGATGGGAATCCATGCGGATTTTTCACTGGGACCTATGGGGATTTTTCCATGGCGACCCATAGGAATCTTACGGGTTCACCAAACCTCCATAGGAGCCTACACCCAAATCGCTACAGGAACCCAAAGGAATTTATTTAGAGGTTTTAACAGGTCCATTATTGAATCCCTATTGGAACCCAAAAGTAAATCCCTGCTGTTGCTTTTGAAATGGGGAGGCCTTACTTTTCTTCTGGTGAGATTATTTAGTAAAATTCTTCAATCACAGAAAAACAAATGTGATAGTATGAAAATTTAAATTTAGCAAAGTAAAAATGTTAAATGAGAGTTTCCTAAGACTTCTTGAAATTAGCCTATATTGGAAAAATCACTCCAAACATTTTCATAAAGAAAAAAAAGAAAAAGATTTAAAAATAATTGACTCTAAATGTAGGTATTGAATTGCAGCTGATAGTATCTTCCGGGCTTTCAGCACCTTTCGGGCTGACACCACCTCCATTTCTTTTTTATGAGCTTTTCGAAGATCTTTTATTTTCTCACCCACATACTGCGAGATTTTTGCTAGGCGAAATCTTTTTCATTTTTAGAGATGTTCTCTGTCTCAAGTAGCCCACTCAACTTTTCTGTAATCAAATAAAAATAAAAAACATGATTATTGTTATCATCGCAATAATGTGAAAGAACAAGCCGGTTAGTAAGTAATATGACACATTAGTGCTACAGAATTGAATGAGTGAATGCAAGGTGGGTAAAACCATAGAGGGAAAACTGGGAAAGGAAGGAGATGTAAGAAAAATCAAAGAGAAAATTTTAAGTTGTGGAAGAATGTTAATTTTCAATGAACTTGGATAATCATGGACATAAATTACTATGTTTCTTCCTTATCCTTTTTTTTTGTAAGAAGTTGGTCATCCTGTGAAGCTTTATCTCCGCCACGGCTGGTCGTGCTGTACTAGATAAATGTCGAGCATAAATACTTTTTCACATTTTTTTTCATTTTTGATAAGGTTATATTTCTTGAAATTTTCAGCTACTCGAAAGAAATCGTTCTAAACTCTCCCAGCAAATTCTTATTTTATTACAGGAACTTTGTCAACATCAGAGACTTACATGGCGTTCTCCTTTAGCACCATAGAACTTTACACCAAAGAGAGTGCATCAGACAACAGGGTCAAAGGAGCCCTGCGTTTGAGTTGATAACCGCGCTTTTGGAGTTGGAGGCCTATTAGACGAGCCGACGGACGTGGGCTCCTGACAATAATTACAAACTAAACATAGTCGATGCCGTGCGTTGCCAATTTACAAGCTCGGAAATTGATTATACACTCAAGGGAAAAGTGCAAGCGGAAAAGATAAATCCAGTCTTGTGCCTGTTCAACTCATCATCTCGATCATCTCACTCTCGCGTTTTTTTCTGCATTGATCCTTGAGCGTTCGTATGGAATTGGATCATTCAAATGTTGGTCCCTAGAGTATTTACCTTTAAAAGATGGCTTTCGATTGAAATCATTTCCGTAAATAGCTTTTTTTTTCTTATATGAAACATTTTGGAGCGAAACCGAACACAAATAGCGTACAACCTGAATAATTTTACATCAGACTATCCGCATTAATTTGAAACTTGACACATGAAAGAGTTTCCTTGTTTTACCATAAATAACTTCTCATGATTTCATATTTGAACCAAGTTTATTTCCCACAATCCATGGGCCGAATTTATATCATGTGTCAAAGTTTTGCACACTCTTGATGCGACGAAATGAGCCGCTGTTATGCTGTTTGAATCTGAACCAAGTTCGACCCTTATATCAGAAGCTCATGACTGTAAAATTTCCTCTTCGATTGCATATTAATCATTTTTGTTTGTTTTCTTTGTTCCAGCGATCCTTTACACTAATTCTTCAAGCCCTAGATTGGAACAACAACACATCACCAGGTAAGAATCTTACACATCATGTTGTGATTGCCTTAGCTCGCGTGAGATGGGCTGTTGCTGTTAACAGTCGCATATTGAGTTCAAATATTTATTTAAGAAACATCGTGTCAATATTGTGCCGTGCCAAAGAAAAACATCAGTAGACATGCCGAAATCTCCTCCGAAATCACACAGATTTTCGTTTGCATTTATCCTACGAATTTTTGAGATCTCATTCAAAATTAATCTAGAGTATTTACAAACTTCGAAGACAGACGTTTCAAACTTTCCTCAAAAATAAGTATTTTAACAAGCGAAATCCGGCAACATTTGAATGCGCATACGATGATCTTTCCGAGCACGGCGTTATTGTCCTCCCTCAATTTTTGACGTCCAACGCTCTTACGGTACATGAATTACACATTTTTCACAGATGAAATGCTTAATGCGGTTTGTAAATCGTGTATTTATTCATGAGATAACACGACAAGCTCTTGGCACAGTTTGCACCGGTATAGTTTTAACCCGTTTTGTTGGATTCAACGCGCTTACAACAGACATGCCTCCTCTTACCAATGAAAATTGATTCCCACTAGTTGAACGCTCCACCGGAGTAAAAACTTTCGATGTCTCTCCCTCGGGTCCTTAGCATTTTTGAGTGCCTCTCGCCAATCGAACATGAAACAGGTTTATTTGCAGCGTTAGTTGCGGAAAAAACCAACTACGTTAAGTCGCGATTTTAAAATCTTCCCACCAAAATCTGAGATCAAGTCATACATTTTGGCAGATTTGATCTTTTTAGCCAAAAAAAAAAATCCGCCGTAACCCCTGTGCATGAGTGTAACAAAGCTCTTTTAAAATATTGAATTATTTCGAAGGAGTGAACCAAAGGTCTGTTGTCTTCTCAGTAAGAAAAACTTGGAAACACCCAGGAAAGCTGGATTCCTGAAGGCTGTAAATAACGAACTTTTGTGCCGAGTTGACGAAGCTTTAACCTTAGGTAGCACATACCGAAACCCTCCTCTTGTTTTTCCTCAAAGAGTCGAAACTCTCATAGATATTAGTCCATCCACTTGACGCGACAGGTTTGTCGAGACAAATGTCTGACGATGGCAAAATCTCTGAAGCTCCAAATTTTGAGCAGAAACGTTGCATTCGATAGAGAGATCGACATTTGCTGTATCAAATGGAATGTTTTTATAGTAGCTAATCCCTTCATTTCGGAGCTTTATGGGATTGCTTTCTTTGTGAATAATTCTTGAGACTCGTGCGCATAAATTGCAGTCGTTTTTTTTGGGTATAAAGTCAAAATCTACACTGAATAAAAAAGTTACGGGCTATGAAGACATATTGTTCCTTCCGGGATCAGAGGCCGAAAGTTCCGAGCGCTGGAGCCGTAACTTCGACTGCCTCAGGTGCTACGCCTAGAACTTCCGACCTCTGAGCCCGGGACACGGACCGTATGTCCAATGTCATATATCCCGTGAGAGGGCTTCCACTGCCAGAGTTTCTTTTTCAGTAAGCCAATTTTTGTGATCTTGTCGATGCGATTTATCGCTTACCAACGCAATCAAGTCCTAACCCAGTATGGTCAAGCCCCAAGACAGCGGCGGCACCCTTTGCGCGGAGAGATTACTCTCTAACAGGTCGTTGAAGATTCACCTTAATTTCGGGGCGAGTGAAGGTAAGGATCCGCGAGCGAGCCGGCGTTTGATCGGAACCCGCGTTCGCGTCACCATCTGGCGGGACGGGACTTCCTCTGTCGCAACGCTGGCGCTCTTCCAGGTCCATTTCTGCTCCCTGTTCGGGCGCACGTGACTTTATGGGTCTCACATGCGCCTTGCCCGGAGGGCCCCGGCCCGCGATTCGTGAGGCGACCGGACGAAAATGTTATCGGGGACAAATACGGGAATGGACAAGAAAATATGTTGAAACCCTCGTTGCCAGATTCTTGCGAGCAGCTTTGGACGTATTCCTGCGAAACGGAACTATAGACGAGTAGGGAAGATGGGGTGTGCTCTAGGAAACTGCAGAAGAATCAGTGTAATAGTGGGCGTTATTCCCTTCGGAAAAGTGGAAAAGTGGGACTTAACATCCTGTCAAACAGAACTGAGAACCTACTAAATGCGGCACTCGTGAGCCATGGGCATTTGAGAAGACCGTTGCGGATAGGGCTCATGACTTAATGCGTCTCCGGATCATCGCGCGTCGGCGCCGTCGTCGCCTCTGACGTCATTGGCGCTTTACAATTCCCTTTCATTCTTGCGGCCCTCGACTAACGAGAACACCCCTTCTTTCCCACCGATCTTTGGTTCCGTTAAGCAGAATTATACGTCCATTTAACCTCCTTTAAAGAGCCGTCAGAATTTTCAAGTCCCAACACCTACAACTAGGATCGACAGAGATATTGGGTGCACTTCCACACTGAGAAAAAAACTTTGCGCGTGGGACGTGGGACCCGAAGTTTAGGTCAAATGGATCTCTATGGATCTGAAACTTCAGTTCATGAAGTACTTCAGATGTAAGAACCGAAGTTTTTCGGATGTGTGATCCAAACCTCAGCAGCTGGACCTAAAGTGTTCAGATGCTCAATCCGAAAACTTTAGAGATCCATATGACCTAAACTTCGGGTCCCACGCACGAAGTTTTTTTCGCCGTGTAAGACTCGGTGGGAAATGCTTCTGCCCACTTTCACCTCGCTTTCATAAATGGATCAAATTTTCAAGTCTCGATAGCCTTATAGAAACCAGCTTCAATTCCGTTTTTTCCACCCCCCCCCTCCCCAAAAAAAAATTACACAATCCTCAGATTTACATATATGTGTCATACCGGGCTGATAACCCTTTCCCTTGTAGCTCTTCCACGACAAAGCTGCAGACTCTTCCGTGAAGTGAAACGGACTTCACGAATAGAAATCTACCATTTTTATGTATAAACATTATATTGTGAACAATCTGCCAATGGAGGTAGAGCATTGTTTCAGAGTTTGAGTTCTCCGGGCAGAGCGACAGCAACGTTGCTAGGCTTTGGGCGAATTCGAGCTGATTTTCCCCGTTGCTCAACGGACGGGCCGCGCCGATGGCAGCAGTGCGCGGGCACGGAAACATCGAATACGTTACTTAACATGGCTCCGAAATGATATATGCGCGTGTAGCGACCAAATGAAAACGGCGAACATCGCTCTCGCTCCGCGGTGACGTAATTTGTCCTGCAGGAACAGCGAATATGCGCCCGCTGGAAAATGTATCACTGTGTCACCACGGTCATGCTTCGGAATTGAAATTCGGTGCCCTATCGGTCTCGGCTCCCCGGAGGAGAAACCGCTCATCTGCACGGCGTTCCCGAGCCTGTTGAGCGGTTTCGAGCTATCGAGGTCTTCTAAGTACTCTTGTTCTAGTCGGGGACACCCAGAGCGAGTATGATCTACACGCATGCCCCATTTTGACCCGGGTCTCTCGAAGCCCCAAGTTCTTTGACCTTCCCACAGCTGGTCAGTTCCCGCAATTATGGGCAACGGTTATGAGTTGACCCAGGTCGGGGCGCTCGTTGCCCTCAGCGTATCCTCGGATTAGCCGTTGTCCGCTTCGAAAATATGGCTTTTGCTCCGGCTCCGTTGACATTTTTTCATCCGCGAACCGCTCCTCGGGGTGTTGCTCGCTCACCTCCGATGCTCTCGCTCTTTTCCCACGTCCGAAAGCTTTTCACCTACTTTTTGTTAACAATCGTTCAGAGTTTCAAGTTCTTCGGACCTCTCTTGTGCAATGACTGTTACAGTCGGATTCGTTCCGTCTGTCTTTTTCCGATTCCAATGTTGCTACGAGTGTGCACCTTACATGCTTTGCAATGAAATTATTGAAAGTATGCAACAATTTAAATTTACAATGGTAATTTTTATTTTGCATTTATAGTTTACCGGTAGTGAAGATAAAACCTGTTTAGGAGATCAGTTTATATTCGCAAGGTAAACAAGATGTACAATGTTAGCGACATTGCACGGAGAAAAAAAAACCTCGTGCTAGGGACCCGAAGTTTAAGTCATATGGATCTCTGAAGTTTTCGGATTGAGCATCTGAACACTTTAGGTCTAGCTGTCGAGGTTCGGATAATACATCTGAAACTTCAACATCCGAGTACTTCTACATCTGAAGTACTTCAGATGTGAGAACCGAAGTTTTTAGGATGTGAGAACCAAAGTTTTTCGGATGTGAAAACCGAAGTACTTCAGATGTAAGAACTGCAGTTTCAAAGGTGTGATCCAAACCTCAGCAGCTGGACCTAAAGTGTTCAGATGCTCAATCCGAAAACTTCAGAGATCCATATGACCTAAACGTCGGGTCCCACGCACAAAGTTTTTTTCTCCGTCTGGAATGCTCTCGGTTCCTGTTTGCAAAATGCAATCCATTTAACAGATTGGACGGCATTCAGGATCCTAGGATTGTAGTGTAAGTGCACTTATTTTTTAACAACTCGCGGGGTTCGGGTACCACCTCCCCCCATTTCAAGGGCTCCCTTCAACCTCCTCTCATCACATTGTGAACCATTTGCAGGCTCCCAAAGGAAATTCGCTGTTTCAGATACGACCACGAAGACCGTCCTCAAACCTCGGCGTGTGTATCTTTTACAAGCGCATCAGAAATTCGAGTCTCGCGCCGGCTGCGCCCCTACAAGCGCCCCGGGATGACGGGAAAAGGCACAAAAGAAGTCGGCATTAATTAGTTCGTTTCTCATGCTCCCGAGGCAGGGAGTGGCCAGGGCCGAGACCCGGGAGCGTCCTGTCGTAGGCGGCTAACATTACGATTCGAAATTCGTACGAGATGAGATGACATACTCGCGAGAGAGCCGCGCAGGCGCAGGTGATCGGCGTGTCGCGCATGCGCGGTCCTCTCCTCCGGGAGCCACCGCACACTGGAAAAAAAAACACATTGGATCTAGAGTCCAGACTCTTAAAAACATCGACAAGAAAAAGTACTCTTGATTCAATCGGTTTTTGCTTAAATCGAAAGGAAATCCGCTCAAATTAA